AGTTACCATCAGTTTAGTAGTTTACGACCCGGTTATTGAAAAACAAATGACAAACTCGCACGCAGTAGGTTGTAAAGTAATTCACCTAGAATTTTAAATTTCTTCTTAAACACTACTAAATAAATTTTAAATATTAAACCGTATGCTACTGTCACGCAGCATGTTTTTAAGAACCATATGAAACCGGAAATCTATACATAAATCAAATGACAAATATAAGACAGGCAAATTATACTTACTTGTTTTGAATTCAACCTTTAATTGATCATCAGAAACTCTTGGAATTGCAATTTTACTGTGATGTCCGCCAATATGAGTTAAAATGTGAAATTAAGTAAAATGTTTGAAAATTCTTATTAAATCACAAGTAATCAGTATGATCAAATGTCATTATTCATATCAAACTAAGATTATTCTTGAAGACTTCCTTAAGAAGTCATAAATAAATTTTTTTTGATTATTACAAAATTAATGCCAACCATTACTTATTTACACTATAGCAAATATTACTTGTATAAAATTATATTATTAGAGTAGGATGAACAAGTGACAAGTGATTTAAATGTTTATATACTTTGCATTACCCAATCAACCTTATGTTCAACCATTTCATTATTTTACCATTTATATACCAGATTTATTAATTTTAATCATAATAATTTAATTGTATAATAATTACAATTATTCATTTCATTTAAATTCTATGTTACACCTTTAATATTTTTTCCTTTTTAAATAATTTTTTATTAATTAATTTTTTTTTTTGCATTTTTAATAATTCCATATTTAAAATTCATGTACTCCGTCAAGCGTACAACACCTGCGTAAATCAAGTAATAATCAAAATCCCAAAAAAAAATTTTAAAAAAATTATTACATTTAATCAATTAATTTAAGTGTATATAAAAATAGTGAATTAATTTTATAATACTCGTAATATCACTTAAATTTATTTTATTTACTTGCATAATAGTTGGCGTAACAGTTACATTTTATTTATTGCTTATGCTTGTAACTTGCATGTAAAATTTATTTAAAAAAATCTTCTTAAATGGTAGAATTGAATGCGTGGAGAAAATGTTCGGTATTCTTTATGAGCAGCTTTAATATGAGAATCTTTTAAAATAATTTCCCCCGCAATTACATGTTATATATAGACTCCATTTATAGAAAAAGGTTTGTCACCATATTTTATTGCCGTGACATCGTGTCACTTATGGTGTAATCTTCTCTATAATAATTACATAAATTTGAATTGGGTTTGAATCCATAATTTAATTTAAAATTTTTTATTCTTTTGAAATATGAATTTTTACCCCTACATTATTTTGAGAGGTAGCTAGGTGTTTTAAAAAACATTTTTTTTAATTTTAAATTTAAATTAAATTTTTTTTTGTTTTTGTTGTTTCTTCAAATCAAATCTGAAATTTGTTGAAAACAAAAATATTCTCTGTAGGTTTATTTTTACTTTAAATGCAATTTTATTCTTGGAATAAAAAATATTTACTGTTAAAAAGTGATAAAAAATTAATTTTTAAATATTTTTTTTTATTTTATTTACTGTTTATACATTTTTGCACAATTATTCACTGTAAAATAATTATAGTGGGTTTTGATATATATGTATACGATGTACATACATACAATTATGTATAAGATACCAAAATATGTAAATGATTAAAAAAAAAAAAATTCATGGACAAATTGTGGGACATGTTTAGCATAAAAAACAAATTTATTTATTTTTTTTTTTCTGTGCTTTCGAAATAAGCAGAAGCTTTTAGATTTTGCCGTATTAATATTAATAAGAATTTTATTATCACCTTTCGCATACAATTTTTTTTTATCTTTAACAAATAATAATTTCTATATATACAAAAAAAAAAAAAATAAAAAAAAAAAAATTACGTCAATGGCCATGAGCAATACTGTTGTATAATTCAAGATAAAAATTCGTATGAAAAATCTTTCAATTTTTATTTATTTAAAATTTAATTGTGTATTCCAAATGGCGTCCTGATGGTGTTGAAATTATATTATATAAATTGTTTTACAATAAGACCATTCAAATTCTCGTTTGCAACATTAAAAATCGACCACCACCATCGACTTATAGTAAACACAGCTGACGGCAACCGTTTCTTTTTCCTCTTTTTCTATGAAATAGGAACCCATATGATTCTCCAGTATCCACATCACATAGTCGATGAAATAGCTACAATTGGACATAAACAACAGCTCATGCATTGTTTGTGAATTTTTATTTGACTTTATAAAAAAAATTTGTGAAACACCTCCAAAGTAATTTTGGTTGTCCGCAATTTCTCGAATTTTTTTACAAAAATAATATAACTGCGGGCAACTAAAGTAACTTTAGTTGCCCGCATAATCTTTTTTCATAAAACAATTATTAGAAAACCTGTATTAAATTGATAATTAGAAAAATAGATTGGGTAATTCCCAATTATTTGAAAAAAACTAAAATAATTTTATAATGATGAGCAATTTGTCTAATATTTTATATTTGGAATGTATTCCCTAATATCATGTTAGATAATATTCACTCTAAGTTTAAATTTATGATGATATTCGTTGGGGCTACCAATTATAACTAATTAATAATAAATATTATAAGTCTACATAAAATATACATCTGTACATTATTTACTTATGTTTAAATAAATTTTGACTCAAAAAAAAAAAAAAAAACAAAATGGGGGAAATTTTTAATTCTTTAATAAAGTCTATACATACCAGTATAATTTCATTATAAATTTCTTTAAATTTCTATTGAGAATAGCAAACAAACAAACAAACAAACAAAAAAATAAGAATACCATAAATTAAATTGTATGGGTACAAAATAACATAAATTACGCCTAATTAAGCATTAGAACGCTTGTAAATAAATAATTTTTCAATTATTATGTACGCTAATCATGCTATTTTCAAATAAAAAATGAAAAAAATATAAAAGTTAATTAATTAAAATTACAAAAAAATAAAAAATTAATAATAAAATAGGTTTAACGTTTACAATTTCAATAAAATTTTTATTTTTTATCACAAATGCAATTCAATTAATTTATTTTAATTAATTAATTAAAATTTAAATTGTATTTTATCAGTTTTTATATTTTCGAAATTAGAATTTAATTGAAAACAATCTTTTAATTTTCTTTATTTTTTTTTATTAAGCAATTCTATTTTTTAATATTTTTCTATTTTTTAACTTTCACTATATTTTCATTTTCATTTAAACAATCTAACTGCAAGTTAATTGTTATTTATTCGAGCTAAAATAAATATACAGTGAATTCTCTGCATTACAGAGACTTCCTGTAACACAAGAGAATCTTTAAAAACAAAAATAAAATTTTTTAACTGTCAAATATGGAGGGTTCGTTATATTAAGATGCACTGTATTTATTTATAGTTAAATTTATTCAACTTTGCTGAACAGGTCACGCAACGGAAGGGCGAGTGCTGACTGCTGGTATTGTGTTTTATAAATGAGGCAATCAAGACTCTTCACTTCTCCTACGTCTCTTTGAAAGTCAGGTGAGCTATTGTAATCCAGTAGGAGCGGAGGGGAGGGGGGGGGGTTGAAATGTCTACCCCGTACGAACAAGATTTGCCATGAGAAGAAGGATAAGGTTAAACGCGTTTTTTGTGGTGTTACTGTGGTATATTGAGCAGAAATTAAATCGTGCACCAGCAGTAATATGTGCTGACGACATCTAGTTTGTAAAAATTTGCGCTTTGCCAATTTTATTGCTTCATTTCGTAAAAAAAACGAAGAACTTAAAAAAAAAATTTATGAGCAATTTCCCACCACTCTTACCCTCACAGTTACTGCTTTCGACTACAAAGGGAATTGGTTTGAAATTCAACAAATTAATGGAAGAACAATCAGCAAATTTCCTCTATTGTAAATTTTCTAAAAAAAATTGACTTAAATGAGTTTCTTTGATTTTTTTACGTTGATTCGGTGATATTCGCGGAAGAGTTGTCTAATTTTTAATATAAATATTGACTGCGAACCTTTTATACCTTAAATTGGAATGTATTGCAAAAGTCTATTGCAAAAATATGCTTACATAAGTGCATAATTTACAAAAATTTTGCTCATTATAGGTACTATAACAATTTTTTTTTGCAATTTTCTTAATAAATTTAATTTTATTATTATTAAATCTTCTTTGTTTATGGGAACAATATTTTTTTAACTAATTTTGGGTATAGTTACATATATAACAGATATAAGTTTGGGTGTTCATATAACAGATTACAAAAGTTAATTATAATAATTTAAAAAATTTAAATTTTCATATTGGAAAATAAGTAACAATAGTAAGAAATTGAAAAGTTTAATAGTATTTCATGGAGTTCATTTATTTAAAAATAAAAACCTATAGTTAACTGTGATTATAAATAAAAAATATTATTAATTTCTTAACTTTTTCATTCATCTTTTCTTTATTTTTAAAATAAAAATTCTGTTATAATATAATCAAAGTAATCAAACATTTTTCTTTCAATATTTCGTGGGTAATACGCGTAACTTTTATTCATCCATAAGCTTTGAATAATCTTAAGTAGGTACATTTTTTATGTACACTAAGCGAGTACATAATTTTATACTGTTGTTAGTGTTGTTACCTACATATACTTAGTAACTGTTATATACTCAGCTGTAATACTATTGAAATTTAATTTTTTATTTTTTTTCATAAATTGGGTAGATCATCATTAGTTTTTCTTATTATTATAATTTTGGAATATAAAAATGTAAATATATCGGATTGTAACTCCCATAATATAATTTTAACTATTTTAATGATTTTTCATTTTATTTCACTCTTCCAATAAAGTATAATATCCCAATTCCTATACATAATTTGTTAAAATAAAAATGTAAAAATCACTAAAAGAAATTAATTGAGAATGGGCTTTTTTTTCTCTAATTTTTTTTTCTCTCTTTTTCTTTTTATTTACAGAGCTTCACGACAGTGTAAGTAAAGTTACTTCATCAAAAACAAAAAAAAAATTATAATCAATGACATCATCACTTCAAAATCGTTATTGTTGGCGAATTGAACACTTTATAGAAGAAGTACAAGAAGAAGAAGAAGAAAAAAAATTTTTAAAAAATTGATAGGAACACAAAAAACAAAAAAAAAAAATCGAAAAGTGAAAATTAATTAAATAATAAAAAAAAAATTCATTAGCACAACAGTCAGCAAAGTGCATAAGAGCGGAGACACGGACACAGCCAGAGTCATTGTTTATTTTTTATTAAATTGTATAATTGTGTGTATATAAAATAATAAAAAAAAATATAATTTTAATTATTTTATTTTTAATAAAATATATAAACAAAGAAGTTCCAAGTCAATCAAGTCCTCTGTACACACACAAAAAAAAAAAACAGTCAATATGAATAAGGAAAAATTTGGTTTTTCAACACTTAGTCGTTTATTAGGGAAAAAGAATAAAGGTGAGTAAATTTTTTTATTTTGTTTTTTTGCTTTTTTTTTATACAAACTGCTTTGTATAACAATATAGTTACCAAAACAAGGAAGCAAAAAGGAAAGAAATATGAAAAATGTGTTGTTATTGTTAATTTTAAAATGTTAGTGGTGAAAATAAAAATATTGGTGAATAAGGATAATGTGCAGTGTACAGATAACAGTTAATTTTTACACTGGGCAATAATATTTTAAATTAAAGGAGGAATGAAGTGCTCTAAAATTTTAAAAGTAAAATAAACAGGTAGTTTAAAGACTCTCGTAGAACAAGTATGTAGAACGTTCATTTTGTTTTACAGATTTTTATTAAGAATATGCTAGGTATATTTTATATTTTAATATGTGCAAAGAATTTAAATTTATTATAAACATTGCTGTTGCGATAAGGCAACACTTCGAGATGATTTAGAACAAAATCGAAAGGTACAGAAATGGTTGAGCTCTTCGTACTTCAATTCTTGAATCAATGAAATTTTCTCAGTAAAAAATTATTGAGTTAAATAAAAACAAAATTAAAAATTTTTTTATGAAAATTTATAAGCTCTTGCGTACAGCATTAACAATTAAAATTACTGACTTAAATAATACGAACTAGATATTAGTTATAACTGGATATTAGTCAAATTCTCACCACTGCAATTAGCATTAAACTTTAAACAAATTATAAGGTTCTAAAGGTTGAATTTCTAAAAAAAATTACATAATTAATTATTTTAACATCTTAATATATTTTTTTTTTTATTTTATAATAATATTATAAATTTATTTTTAAATTTCAGATAAAAATAATACAAAATCTAATGATAATACTAGTCAGAATGCTGTCATTAATAATAAAGGAAATTATCAACAACAACAACAGAAACAGCAACAACAACAACCAACACAACAGCAATTACAACAATCACAAATAAATAATAGTATAACACATAATAATACAATATCACCATTACCAGCTGCAACAACAAATGCACCATTTGAGCAAACATTTCGTATAACTGTATTATTACCAAGAGAACAATTATATGTTGCACGTTTAGGTGCTAGAGCTAAATTAAAACAATTAATGCAATTGGTATGTGAAAATAAATTATTAAATGGAGAACAATATGAATTTCGTGATCCAAGTAAGTATATTCACCTAAATATTTAAAATGAGTATAACAGTTTTTTGAATAAATAAGAGAATTGTAGGAATTAGATTTGCGATTATAAATAATTGTGCTCAATTTTAGAATTCAATTTTGTTGAATCGCAATAATTTTAATAGAATGATAAAATAAATCGCAATAATGTAATATGAGGATGTTGGGCTCATTTTTTGTTTCCATGTTTTTCTAATAAAATATATGAGGACACTTTAGTTATTAGGCCATTACTTAACTAAAATTCAGAAACATTACGTGATCATAGTAATTACATTGAATAATGAAATCAATGTCTCAACGTTTCACCCTTCATTAATCTATCAATTAAATTATTTTTCTAATGAAAATTTAAATGAAATTTTTATAATTTCGAAAATCGAATTATAATTGTTGTGAATCGATTTCTAATTTAGTTTCATAATTTAATTAAAAATTAAATTAAAAATTAATTCTACGAATTATGTAATCCGGTTCTATTCACCTGAAGATGCTTATATTAAACATAATGGGGTTTTAATCACTTGAGTTGAGGAATTCGAGTAATCTTCCTTAAACAAGTTTCGGCTCAAAACTTTAATTAATTAATTAGAAAAAATAATTATGGGCGATCAATAATTTCCCGACTAATTTAAATCGAAATCAAAAACAAAATTTTTTTAAAAATCACTTAGAACTTCAAATCAAAATCAAAATAATTTAATTTTAATTTTTAATTTCAGTTGATTCTAGTCAAGTATTCGATTTAGAATCAACAATTGGAACTGTTGGTTTATCGGAGATACGATTATGTCACAAAAGTGAACAAAAATATAATAATCATTTTAATTCTGATGATATTGTTAAACTACGAAATCAGACATCAGTAACTGGACGACTTTCTGTAACATCATCTGAACAAAGTAGTAAACATTCAATGAAAATTATTCCAAAAGCAAGTCCATATAGTTCAACAAATTCTCTAAATTCAATGGATTCAACTGGAATGCATGCTAATTATTCAACACCGATATCTATACCACAATCAGCTGTATCAACGATATCAACAACAACTACTATGGTAACATCTGGTCCAATTAAACCACCAGTTGCACCGGCACGAAAAAAACGTTTAGCACCAAGACCACCTAGTCAAATATCAGTACCCGAAAAAGAAGTTTTACCACCAATAACAGAATGGAAACGACCAAATCAAAAATTAAATGGTGATTCACAACAATTAAATTACGATAATAAATCATCAGAATTTGGATTACAGCGAAAAGAATTTTCATCATCGACACCAAATTTAAATTCAAATGGAAATGGTACTGCACATTTAGCTATATATGGAGAAATTGATCTACACGAAAGTAGTACTTCAATTGATTGTAATGGAAATAATCAAACTAGTCAAAAAAATTATAACCATAAAGAACAAAGTATAGATGAGGAATCCGATTGGGAACGTAAACGTAAAGAAGAACGTAATATTCATAATCGATCGATTTCCGTTCAATATGAAAACGGTTATACGAAGCATTATTTCGGTAGTGTACAAAATTTTTCAGCAACACCAAATCCAGAAGGATATGACTCAGGAAGTTATTTAAGTCTTGATCAATATGCACCAGATAATCATCAAAAACCTAGAGGATTTCCTCAACCAAGTCCAAGAAAAATTATTAATATTAAGAAGAAAACAGCTGCACCGCCACCACCACTTCCACGTTCAGTTGCTCCTAAACCAATTGCAACTCCACGTGAAACGATTATAAATACAGAAAATGAAATTATGCGCAGTAAGTTGCCTTAAGTGTTATTTATTACATATAAAAATTTTAATTATTTTCATTTTAGATGGCATTTTAGAGGGTGACAAAAAACATGAAGCTAAAAGTGCAACAAATATCATTCCCAATGGGAATACTTTAGTCGATAAACTTCGTTCTCCAGCGGCATCTGATTTAGTTTCGTATGATGGAAGTCAACTTAGTGAAATTTCTACAGAAAATGGACAATCATCAAGAACTGCTTCCACGTTATCAATGACATCTCAAAGTACTTCAATATTAGAGGAACAATATTCCAATCGAAAGAGCTCCGTGAAAGAAGCTGAATCTGTACCAAAATCACCATCAAAAGAAACAATAAATATAAGAAACTCTTTGTCAGAAAATACAATGAAACCATTGCAAGATGATGACGATTCGGTTGTGGACGAAGCCATTTTAATGTGTATACCAGCTCCTCCAAGATTTGCAGATGGTAGTGAACATATTTTACAAGAAAATCCTCCTAAATCGCCAGAAGTGCCAAAAGTTCAAATCACAATTCAAAAACCAATAACTCCAAACATAAACGAAACACAGTATAAAGACGAAACTGACTTAGTAACGGAAGCATTTAAAGATATTGAAGATATGCCAGATGAAACCACTGATATAATAGAAGAATATAAAATTGAAGAAACTATTGAAGTTGATATTAAAGCTCCTGCAACTGAAACCGTAAAAGAAGATATTGTTATTATAAATTCGGATGTCGAAGATGGTTATCAAGGAAATAAAGTTAATTCAATAACCACAGAATCAAAAATTGATACTAATAAATGTGAGCAACATGATGATGAAAAATGTGACTTAAAAAAAGGTAAATAAGCATTTAGACTAGAAGTATTATATCCTGAATTAAAGAAAAATATTATATTTTAGATATTGTACAGCCAGAAAGGACTACTACTACTGTTAAAACTTGTGAAACGATTGAAATTATTCCAAATGATACCGGAAAAGATTCAATTAATATTCAAAGTCAAACTCTTGGGATCGCACCAAAAATATTAACAGAAATAACGCAAAATTCAAATGAAATTAACAACTCTTCAAAATTGAATACTGCACCAACAAAAACACCTATGACAGAACAGAAAGATTCAAAAAAAGCAATAATAGAGAACACAACAGAAATGCCAATAAAATCTAAAGCAAACGACAGACTCTATGAGAATCGTGTAACTGTAAAACTTTCTAATTCAATTAAATTTAAGAAGAGTATTGGACGCTCTGATTCATTTCATGCTACTCAACATTATCAAAATAATGAATTTAAGCATTCAAATTCTGAAGAGGATTCAGACTCACGTAGTCTATCATTTTTATCACTATTGGCAGCACAACGTGAAGAAATTCGAAATTCACAAAATTCATTGAATACAATAGATCGTAGAAAATTGGAAAATCGTAAATCTACCAGTGATCTAAGAATTGGAGAGTTACCAAATTTACAAAGTTTAATTGTTATGAAATCAATTTTAAATTCACAAAATAATTTAAATAAAATAAGTCAAAATGATGTTAGTAATAGAAATGATTCTGACATAAGAGAATTTTCAACTGAAAATATTAAAAGTGATTACAGTCAAAATAAGACTGGTGATATTGAGGTAAAAAATGAAGAAATACCAAAGATTAGTTCTATTTTAAGATTGACAAAAGAAAATAGTGAAGAAATAAATAAGGAAGGAAAATTAAATGAAGGAGAAGACATTGATGATACAAATGTAAAAAAATGGACATATCAGGGGCGACCGAATATTAGTTTGTCAACATGGAGTGAACGACCAAAACATACAAATGATGTTACAATTAAAAATGAAGGTAAATTCTTAGAAGTACACAACAAGGTTGAAATATTTCAGAATCAAAAATATTTTCTATTCCACTCGTTTCTAATCCTATAAAATTCTCAAAACAAATAATTTTATAAAATTAAATTAAATAATATAATTCTAATCCTTCTTCTCTTTTAGGTGATTATATTTTTGGTGGAGCAACTGTAAAAAGGACATCATCTATCAGTTCATTACAAAGAAATCGAATGTCATTACCAGCTGTAACACAATCTACATCATCTAATCTTCATATTACAAATTATTCATCCGATAATAAAAGACAAAGTATAGCTGATGTAAAACTACGAAAAGTTGCAGAAGAAATACCATCTAATACAAATAATAATCATTACCATTCAAATAATATTAATAACAATAATAATAATGAATACCCTGATTTTCGAAGTACTCTAAGAAAATCAGAACATTCTAAAAAATTATATTCACAAAACGAAAATACGACTGATTTGGAAAAAGCACAACAAAATAATAAATCGAATGAAAATTTAGATAAAACATTTGAAGAGAAAACAAAATCATTTGGTCCAGTTATTAATCGTCGGACTACTGGTTATAAAGAAAATTTAATTTTAGGACAACAAAAATTAAATCGTGATGAAAAAATTACATCAATTAATATTAATCAGTATCAGAATCAAAGTCAAAATCAAAATACACCAATCAACAATGATAGGCCAATTGTTGATGTTATAAGAAAATCATCTGTACAATCCGAATTTATAATGCCTGTAAAAATGCATATTAATGAAAAAGCACTTTATAATGATGACACAGATAATTTAAATTCAAGCCATCAAAATTCAATGCCACTAATAAGACCAATAATTATTAAACAAAATATGAATTTAAATTTAAATAAAAAACCAATAACAACAACAACAACAGCAATAAATGTAACAAAAAATTATAATACATCAACAAATAATATAATAAGTCCAACTGGACCAGGATCAGGATCAAATATAAAAACAATAACAACAATTACACCAAGTACAACACCAACAAATACTCAACAACAAATTGAAATTGATCCAAAAGCAAATTTTTTATCAGAAATTCAAAGATTTGATAAGAAAAATTTAAAACATGTTTAGATTATTGTTTTAATATTAAAATATATATATTATTGGTAAAATTAATAAATAACTGTTATACATGAAATATTTAGTATCCCTATGTATTATACGAATATATTCATTTCTATATAAAAATTATTTTTTTGTAATTAAAAATTATAAATTGATATTATTAGAAACCAAACAAAAATCTATTAAAAATATTTCTAATAAAATAATTAAAATTGAAATTTTAACAAAAAAAAAGAAAAATTCTTAATAAAAAAAAAATCTAAATAATAATGAAATTATAACAGTTTAATTAAAATATAGTTATAATTATTATAAATTACATAGTGTTAATTAATTTAACATTATTAAACTAATAATTAAATTTATTATACAAAATATTATTCAAATTATTATATCAAAAGTTATCTATGAATTAAATATAGCAAAAATGTGTTATACAATACAATAAAAGTCAAATATAATTAACATTCTAACTATATTATACAATTTTTTTTTTTCTGTTTCCGTTGTTTTATAACTTAATAACCTTATGACTTATAATGTCATAATTTATATTATAACAGTTTAAAGTTAAATTTATGATTTTTATAAACTATACTTTAAAAAAGCAAAAAGAAAAAAAAAACTCTATTTTAAATAAGAATAAAATTTAAATAAAATTGTGTATTTGGAATAAAAGTATAAAGAAAAAAATTATATAAATTATTATTATGTAAAGAATTATTGTTATTATTTGTGTAATTTGTTTTTTTTTTTTGTTCTAAATAAATTTTGAACATAAATATACCTTTTAATAATAAATAACTATCTTAATTTTTAAATCTGTTATATTCTTCAGTTTACATCATACTGTTTACTTGAAACAATTAAATTCTACGGTTTTAAAACCTTAAATATAAATTACAATAAATTGCAATGCTATGTATTACACAATTTAATTATGCATTTAACAATTATATAAATTAAGTTAATGGTAATTTTCGGCTACGCAAGTTTTCTAATACGAATTTATAACACTAAATTTAAAAAAAATACTTACATACTTATAGTTCATATTGTATGAAATTAACTGTCTCCCATTAACTGTTCTGCTACTGTTTTATTATCCGTTTGCAATTTCTTTTCTGTTATCCGCTTGTCAATCGTTTAGCTTACAAACAAAAAAACTATGCAATTGTAAATACGAAAATTATCCCGTCTAATTAATAACTTGAGCATTAAGTTCCAAGTTAATTTTCCATCTTTAAAAACTAAAGCATAATAATAGCTACATAATTTTATTTAGAAACACTAAAAAATAAAATTGCATATATTTAGGATGAAATTGATCATTCATAAAATTATTATTTATTGCATACTTTTGATTTTTCCTACAAGTACAAATCATAAATTAAAAAGTTACCAGCTAATATGAAAAATCTTCAATTTATTATTTGAAATTATTATTACATATTATGAAAATAAAAAAACAGAGAATTCTGATGTTTATTTTGATCAACATGGAAAAAGTTGAATTTCTATATTGTTAAAAATAAATTATAAAACAAAATTAATTACTACAAATTCATAAATATTTTAATTTAAATGAAAATGTTATGATATAGTACCGTACCATATCCGATCCACTTAGCAGTTTTAGTCATAAACTCCAAGAGATTTAGAAAAAATTTATGAGAAAGAAGAAGGAGAGAATAAAGCTCATATCAAATCTATTTAATATATCAAATATATTTAAGAAACACTACGTCAAATATATTTAAGAAAGACTGATTCATCACTGTATAATTTTTTAAGTGTTTTCGAATTAATATTGTAAAAGAAGCCCTCTGTTTCTCATTTTATTTTTTCACTCTCAATTGATTTGAGTTACTCTCAATATTAGTTCAAATTACCACTTATGTAGTAAATCTATACATTTTACATTTGCTGATCGCAATTGTAAGCAAATAATATTAAATTACACACTACACACTTTTTAAATTGATTAATCTTGTTTGTAATCTCCCATTAATATATAATTTCATTGTTCTTCCTTCTCCCTACAATACATATACAGACAAACATATAAATTTTTTATTCTCTCTTTTTAAATTATTTTCAATTTATTTTAGTTTTGTTGTATTTATTTTCTTTAATATTTTATTTTGTTATATTATTTATTTTATTCTCAAAATATGTACACAACACACGTACATACCCTCTGTGAAATGTGCATGCATATGTGCATAAATAAAAAACAACAATCATACAACAACAAAAATGTAAAGAGATCTCTCTTGCTGATAACAGCAAGAAAAATGATAATTGCAACAGTTTTGTTTTTCTCTTTTTATTCTTGTTTCTCTTTTATTTTCTATTTACTTATTTATATTTTATTCGTTTGTTTTTTTTTTTGGTTTTTGGTTGATGCTGTTCAAATGTTTGCTCCCATATAAAAAAAATAAGAGACTGCATCAATTTCTGCAAGAGTTCAGTAATTTTTGAGCATATTAATTCATATAATATAATTTATATTAATGTGAAAATGCACGTAGGTTTATAATGTATGTTGTGTTGTGTGTTAAACGATAACAATATGTGTAATATTTGTGTTGAATAAATACAGTATATCTGTTTCGAATTCCCATTATTTTAAATACAAAAACATATATATACATCCAAACATAGGCATACAAAAGAGAAACAGTATAACTCGAATTGAAACGAATATCGAACTCGTTCGTTAGAGAGTTTGATATTTTTTTTATTAAAAATTTTTTATTTTTTTAATTTATTTATTTATTTTTATATTTATTTTTATTATTGTTATTCTTTATCTGTACTTCTGTGTCGGTTCGGTCGGCTACACAGACCAAAAACATCTATGTGTGTATGTAATTTTCTTTGGTTTTTTGAATTTTATTTGTTTTTTTTTTTTTTTTTCGTAATTTTAGTACATAAAGAACATTCATATGCTAAAGTTCTTCTCTTTTCCTTTCGAATAATATTTTAAACTTTTTTTTTTTTTGTTAAAACTTCGTTTAATATTTTTATATATTAAAAAATATAATCTAAAATGTAATATATTTTTGGGTGCGGACTACAACTACAAACTCAGCTACATATTTTATAAAATTTAAGTATATAATAAATTATGCACATTTTGCCTGCATATATACACCATAGTGAGATCGAATGGATGGATGGAAAATGTAAAAGAAAGAAAAAATAAATAAAAACAAAACGAAAGAAAAAAAATGAATGAGAAAAAAAAGAAAAATGCGTATCTGTGCGCTCTGCGGCCAACAAAATAATAATAATAATTGTTATTTTTAATCGGTCATAGACATTAATTGTGATCGGAACGGAAAAATACAAGCGAATAATCAATTTAAAAAAATAAAAAATAACAAAAATAATTTATACAAGAAGAGAAATAAATTTATTGTGATCAAAAATTGAAAATATCTTTGCTTCTTGCATTTTACATACATACAGACATACATATATACATTAATTTAAATACATGTGTACAATATATAGACCAGTCATACATTAAAACAAAATTTAAAATTTTCTTAATTTAAAATTTATAATATTAAAATCAATTATTATTATTGTTCATGTGGTGAAGACATAAAATTTTTATTAAATTAATATGAATAAATTAATAAAAAATAAATTAATAAAAATTTAAAAAAATAAGTGATTAAAAATTGTGTGTTCCAAAATAATATGTATTGCATATTGTAATTGTTAGTATGTTAAAAAACGAGTTCATTATAAGTGCAAACATTAAGTGCATGCATATTTGAAAATAATTTTATAAATAATATGCATGTGTTCGTAATGATAATATTACGGTATACCTAAAATTTATATTGAGTACTCAATATATTGTGTATATTGTGCCTTTAAACACGCAAAATTACTGTGCAATACTTAGATTTTAGAAAGAATATTATTAAAAAAAAAATTAATATTAAATGCAAATTATTAAAATTTTAAAAATATTTGTCACATTTTTTTTTGTTTCTGTGTATAATATGCTGTATAACATATTTAAGTGATATTGTTCAAATATTCATAATAAATGTAATACGATATTATATTTAATGTGTTAAAACTAATTATTAATATTATAAATAAAAAATAATTCAGAATAATAATTGTTTTTGAATACAGTAATAATTACAATATTAATTACAATAATAATTATAATAAATGATTACATTTTATATTAAACTATAGAAATAAAAATATTAAAACTAATCTACAATTATTACAATACGGAAAATATATAATTAATATAGAGGATTTATTACAAAAAATTACGGTATTTAAATTTAAATTACAATTTAAAATTTAATATTTATATGATTATTTTATAATTAATAATGATTATAATAAATTTAATATTGTTATTTTAAATTACATTATTATAACAATAGTAAGTATAACAATAAAAAAATATATATGTATAATATTTTTATAAATTTTGATTATACATTTAAAAATTATTATATTACGTTTATAAATTTAATATATATACATACATAATATAATATATAAATATATATTGATAAATACATTTAATATTATCAATTATTAATAAAACTATCTCTTTCTAACATATATATTTTAAATTTTCTTATCAACAAAAAAAATAAAACAACAAAAATATAAGACGTTTTTTTTTTTTGTTATTATTATAAAATATTATAAATTCTTTTAAAAAAATTTTTTTTATTTCTCTTCTATTTTTTCTTTTGAGTGCAAAAATAAATATATAAAAAATAAACACATACTATACGCACATGTATAACACTTGATATATATATATATATATAATATATATAAGCATATATATAAATGTATATAGATAAATATATTAAATATATATTTCTCTATTATAATATTTATATAAAATTAAAATTAATACATAATAATAATAATAATAAACAATAAATAAAGAAAAAGTGAGAAAGAGAATTTTACAAATAAGAGAAACAGACAAAAAAAATTTTTTTCTAAAGTATATTTTAAATGTTCATTGAAATGTTGTGAATTGTGATTTTAAATGTCTGTTAAATGTCAAATCTGACATACGTTTATATTAGATCTTAGTTTTGTATTGTGATTGTTTTTTGTTTTGAAACTTATGATATGACAAGCTTTGAG